CAATATAAATTTGAATTTGTATTTGATTTGATTTTCAAATCAAATATTCAAATATCAAATCAAATTGCGGAACCCTACTTGCGAGGATCATCTAGTGCTTGGGAAACATGGCTTCATATGGCAAATAAATATGGTAACTCATTTTCAGATTTTTAGATAGACACTGACTTTTTTCTTTTTCTTTTCTTGGTGATAACAGTAGTTATTAGATATACATTTAGTGGGCCTGTTAGAGGAAAAAGACGATGATTGGTCGATTCAAATGGGTTTGTAATATAATTACAGGGGATAGTTAATACTTTTCTTTTTTTTTATTTTTAGTTTTACTCTATGTAATTAATAAAGTTACTGGCAGTGTCACATCGTTAAAAAAAAAGTTTTTTCTATAAAAGATTAGGCGATCCTAGCTTAGTGGTAAATTGCTAAGCCTTATCATAGGTTATATTATGATAGACCTTAGTTCAGCCCCTAACCAAGGCAGATCACAACAAATTAAGTTTGTGGGATTTACTGATTTAATTCTGGAAATGAATATTATAGGATGCGTATATACTATGTACTTTAAAGATCATGAATTTGTAAAATATGGTGATTTTGAGATGTCTATATGGTGTGATGATAGCTACCACCAAAAGGTGTAAGTTCACTTCGTCTAGATCCATACTATTTTGACAACAGGTAGTGGTAATAGATATACTGTTAGTCTGTAATAGACAAGTATCACATCGTTTGCAAAGGGTGCCTGTGAGGGTAGGATCAATGGTAGGTACTGTATAACTTAGGTTGAACAATAGCCGTAGGTTATAGGTAGTTGATATTGCAATATCTTCAATCATCATGATGCCTATATCACAACTAGGATTTTAAGGCCAGAATTTGATTCTCTGGGTGACTTTAATGTATGGCGAGGCAATTATGGTGTATGCTATCATCTTAGGTTATTCATGATACTAATTTCCAGTAGTAGTGATAAATGTACATGATGATGGATACCATGAGTTCTCCCATACGGGATTAGCAATGTAGCAGTCTACTTAGGCAGGATTTGGAAGTACAGTGTTAGTACAATGATTAGTACAATTAGTACAATTAGTACATTATAATAATTAATATAAAATTAGTACAAGTACAGTACAAATACAATGGTAATTTTATCTAGTACATACAAAATTCCCAACCCTGTACTTGGGTATTAGACAATTATGTATTTAGGCTTCATATACTCATACTGGACTTAAATGTATCAAAGGAGGGTAAAAGTGATTCAAACCAAATAAGTCATATATGTTACTTGTGAGATGTATACACTACTGTAATCATTAGCGCGATCCTAATAAAGCAAAAATAAAAGAAGGTTTTTTCTATAATAGGATTGGGCGATCCTAGCTTAATGGTAAATCACTAAACCCTATTGTAGGTTAAAATGTAATAGACCCTAGTTCAGCTCCTAGTCAAAGCAGATCGCAACAAATTAAGTTTGAAGGATTTACTAGTTCAATTTCGGGAATGAATATCATAGGATGCGTACATACCATGCATGTTAAAAATCACGAATTTGTAGAATATGGTGACCCTGAGATGTTTATATGATGTGATGGTAGCTACCATCAAAAGGTGTAAGTTCGCTTCATCTAGAGCTGACAACAGGTGGTGGTAATAGATGATCTCACCTATCGTGAACCAATTGAGTTTAGAACTGATAGTGGGAGCTGGTCTGTAATGGACAAGTATCACATCATCTGCAAAGGGTGCCTGTGAGGGTAGGATCAATGGTAGATACTGTATAACTTAGGTTGAACAATAGCTGCAGGTTATAGGTGATTGATATTGCAATGCCTTCAATTATCATGATGCCTATATCACAACTAGGATTTTAAGGCTAAAATTTGATTCTCTGGATAACTTTGATATATGGTGAGGCATCTATCATAGAGGCTATTATCTTAGGTTGTTCTTGACCCTAATTTCCAGTAGTAGTGATGAATGTACATGATGATAGGTACATGTGCTTTCTCACATGAGTTAGTGATGTGGCAGTCTATTCAGGTATTTAACAATAATATACCTAAGCTTCACATACTCACACTGGGCTTAAAAGTGTTAAAGGGAGGTAAAAGTGATTCAAACCAAGTAAGTCATATAGCTACTTGTGAGCTGTGCGTACCATGCAATCATCAGCGTGATCTTAGTAAAGCAAAAAAAGGTTTTTTCTATATTTAAAAATCTGTACCACACTGTAGATACTGTAGATCTGTTATATCATGAAATTTGTTATATCAAAATTCGCTATAGAAAGAGTTGACTGTATTCTGCAATTAATGTAATAATAAAAGATGTAAAATCAAGTAATTCTAATTCTAATGAAGTAAAGGTTATAGATTTTACTGAATCAAATACAGCATTTGATGATGATGTTGAATATGAAGTTTTAGAAGATAGAGATATTGCTAATAATCAATCAAAATAACATAAGATCAAGATTCATACACCATAAGATTATAAAATTTAATTTTAAAAGTCAAAAGTACTTTATATAAATCTATTATTCCTATTATTCACTATTAAAATATCCTAGCAGACTATAGATCAATTGTAATATTATTAGATTCTTGTTGCAAATCCTTATTCTTTATTTCCTAGAACTTTATAGTAATATTTATTTGAAATCAATATCAATTTATAATAAGAAGAAATTAGAGTATAGCAAACAGTAAAGGGATTGTCATGAAGAATATCTAACAAATTCATTATTGATAAATATGTTCAGTAGAAAATATGAACGTGGTGATGAATTACTAAATATTTAAAGTTAAGGAAATTGGTTTTTCTGAATATCCTTTTAATTAGTGGTCTAAGAATGAAAATCAATTTTGAATTTTATCAAAGATGACACATAAATACTTGGCAATTTCTGTAACTTCTACACTAAGTGAAAGACTATTTAGTGATGCTAAAAATCTTATAACAGTTCGATATATCAGTCTTTCCCCTTCAATATTTAAATACCTCCTTTTTTAAAATGAAATTAAGATTTGATTAGATCTATATTTGCCGAAAAATAAGTTCAGATATCTAAAGTGATGTATGTATAAGTCAAATTATTATTTTTTTAAAACTTTTTTTTTAATTTAAAATTTATTTATTATAGAAAAAACAGAAGAGTTATACTCATACTGATGATTAAAATATATTTAGCATATATTTGAATACATAAAATTTGTGTACACAATTATTGCAATAAAATAAAAATAAATAATTATTTATTATTGAAAAAAATTATAAAAATTATAATTAATTATTTAACAATTTATTATCTATTTTTAACTGTAAGTTATATCTAGTTATCTAAAGTTAAAATGAATTTTTTAACTAGTTAAGAAATTTGTCAAATAGATATGATTCGTATGGATCACCAAATCACTGGTTCAGATCACTATTCTTATATATGGTTAATTTTAAGTCGCATAATTCTGATCATTACCAATGATAATGATTTTTACAAAGAAAAAAATTTTGATGAAATAGTTTTACTATTCTTGTATAAAGAATCATTGAATATTTCTGGTGTTGAGATATAGTAAGAGGGATCTAATCCATCATCTTGCAAACACATAATAGTATAGTTTATGAATACATCAGCAAATAAAAGTAATTCAGTTTCAAAATAAAGATCATAAATTCTACATCTTAAATTTTTGTTATATTTTTTGTGTATATTTATACCTTTTTAGGCTGAAAACTTATTCTGTCAAATTTTTTCTCTGAGTTTGTTCAGTTATATGGAAATATTCTTTTTCAGAAAAGAAGCTTTATTTTATCTATCAAATAGCCTTTTTCAGTAAAATGTTTAACAGTTAAGGAAATTTTTTTGAGTTTTCTTTTTAGACATTTCACCAACTTATCGAGATTTATTCTCATATACTAAAAGCTATCTAGAAATCGGAATTGGCTAATATTCATAGCTTTATACTTTTCTATATTTTCTGAAATGCATTTTAGCTTATCAATTGTAAATTGTTCACAATTTTTATAAGCGGATGAGAGTCATAATCTTGGAAATTATGGCAAATTAGATATTATATACATCATAGACCGGATTTTAGTACTTTTTACTTATATAATCTTTTACCTTACAATTGAACCTTATAGAATCTGTTTCTATTTTTGATAAATCATTATAATTAATTAATTAATAAATTTTTTTACTTAAAATTTTATTTAATAAAATTCTAAAATATATTATTACTAAAATATATAAAAACATAATAAATTATAAAATTAATCAAAAAATTTTAAAAATCAATTAAATTAACATAATTTTTTATTAATTAAATATTATAAATATGTATTAATTACTATAAATTAAACTTATTAAACTAATTAATTTAATCAAAATTAACAAAAACTAATTATTAATCTTTAGTAATATGGGTGGAACTTTTGCAATAGAAAAGGGAAAAACTGAAAAAATAAAAAATGAGTTAAAAATCATATTTGGCATATAAAAGTAAATTGATTTTTTCTTAGCAGTTTTCCCCTTTCTATTGCAAAAATAATATATAGAAAATTTGGGATTATATTTTCAAAAAATGTTAGTATGTCAGATTTTAGTGTTGAAATATTATATTATGAACCGTTGTTATTAATAAATAAATAGCATTATGTATTGCTCTTTATTAATTAATTCTTTATTACAATTTAGTTAGAATGTCACGTGATCTCAACGAAACCTTCATTAATCATTTTCCCATTTATAATATCTCGCATGGTTTATTAAATTAAAAAAATATTATTTAATTAAAGAAATATCGACTTTTCATAATTGAAGATAATTTAAAATCTCCTTTTGCTGGCAATTTTGGAAAAGTTAAATCTACCCAGATATGTACAAATTTTGAGGCTTTTTTCTTTTTCTTATTTGTTTCTTTTTCCTCATCTATATCATGTTCCTCATCAAGTAGATCATCCGATATACTATCGAATTCTGTTATGTCAATTATTGATTTTGCTGTTTCATTGCCCAGATCTATTATATCATTTGCATTTAAAGCATTTGCAAATTCTCTGAGTTTTGAATCCTTATTTTTTTGAGAATTCGGAACGATCTTATATAGTTCATCCAAACTAAGAATTGGTTCGTACCCATTATCCGTTATTGTTGTCGAACCTTTCTCAGTTTCCTTCATTTTTTGCAATTTCAATTGTTCAAAATCTTCTCTTAGAACTTTAATTGGAACTTTATATCCTTTATACCGCTTGATAAATTCATTTCTAAGATTCTCCATGATAGGTTGTTCATGAAGTTTGATGAATTGGTCGCGTATTATTTCATTCATAACCTCCACATCACAAGCGTGTGTCCAAAAACTATCATGCACAGAAGCAAACTCCAAATTTTTTTCCTTACAACCCAATGCAGTCATTAACATGTGAGTCGCATCAAGAGAATGAATAAAATTAGGAGGAAAGGCTGCCCGTTGCTTAATAGAATTCACCGGACTAGGAACACCTGGATCTTCAATGTTAATAGTTTGAAGGTTAGTCTTGACAGCTTTCTTGCCTAATTTACGATAAGGCTGTACAATTGGCAAGTCCAATGGTGTGGTCCAAACTACAGTTGTCATTTGGTTTAAACCGGGTTTACTAGGTGGTATTATGACAATAGATCTTTTTTTATTAGTCAAATTGTTATGTTTATTCTCCTCGTTGCCATTTACCTCCTTTATATTATTATTCATTTCTTCGTTTCCATTCCCGGATGAACATTGCAATTTTTCTAGATCATTTTCCATAAAATTTTTTCCTTCAATTCTATGTTCAGATAAATTTTGATCTGAAAATACAACTTCTGATGGTACACTTTTTGAAATCCTCTTCGCACATTCAACAAGCCAGTCTTGAATAGCTCTAGCTCCATGAAACATTTCTCCAAGGCATGTAAATACGAGTTTAGTAATATATAACGACAACTCTCTAACTTTTTCCTGAGGAATATCTTCAATCTCTTTAAGACGTGATTCTATTTGTAACCTAGCCCCAATGAAAGTCACACCATAAACACTAGTCATCACAGTTTGTTTGACGACTTTACGAGTAATTTTGTCGCACGATATTTTTGCTAGTTCATCATCTTGCTTTGCATCATTTGCAATTAATTCGTTTACTCTTGCAGCTACACCACTATATATGTCAAATGGCTTATCTGAAGGATACAAATTGACCTGTTTTGCGCCTTCCAAATCGCCACCAAGTGCTGCATAATGTTGTAATCCATTACATGTACCATCTTGATGTATTGGAATTTGTGATAGATGTTTTGCCGGATCTGAAGATTCCAACGCTTCGTGTAATTCAAAACACGCTGCCAAACATTGCCAAGGATCCTCAGCTTCCTTCCACCAGCATCTGCCATTGAGAGGATTTATAGCAGAATCCTTTACATCTTCTATGTGGTCGTTTGTAAATTTTATACGGTCTTCGAAAGAAGCTTTGTCATACCCAACTAGGTTGGCAATTTGAATCTTGAGCCAATTCAACCCATTTTTACCTAATGGTTTCGGTTCTTTGAACAACAACAGACCTCGACACAAATCATTTCCTAAATGATTAAATAATGGTGGTATCGGATATGCACGACCTCGGAAGTCAAGACTATGAGGAAAGTACATAGTTTCATTTAAAAACTATAACAGAATTTGCTTATTAGTATAATATACGAGTCCACCTTATAAAATAATTGCTTTACTTACAGCACCAGCAATATCGACTTTATAATTCGCTGTACATCTTTCAGAATGGTTATTACTTATTTTACGAGAAACTGCTCTACACTCTTTAAACCATTTTACTTTCGCATACATCTCAGTCTCATAATTTTCAGGTTTATCAGGAACTTTTAAATCGATTTCGGCTGGTGGTATTTTGCCTAATGCCTCTCCTTTATTCCAAACTTCTAAAACAATTTTGTATACTTTCTTATTAACTACCCAACAAGTGGATCCAAGAACATCCAATCCTGCGAAGACACGGTCCAGGTATCCTTCTTCAGATGCTTTTTGCAGATAAGCTAACTGTTCAGGACAATCTTTTGCCCTCATGGCATATGCTGAATAAAGACGTATTAAAAAAAAAAATAGAATATTTAGATAAACAAATTAAAACTTATATAGTGGGTCTTCTCAAAAATACGTGATTTTGATTGAGATTAGAGATTAATCATGATTGAGATTACCATTAATTTATCTTACTCCATGCATGAGTAAGATTGAAATAAAATAAGTAAATTTCAATAATAGTCGACGTTTAATCCCAATCCCAATCCACGTTTTTGCGAAGAACTCCAATATCTTAAAGAGAAATAACGTATATATTTAATTAAATTCATTCATACTTGGGGATGTAAGATATCCACCACTATTAAAAGTCAACCAAGGCCTTGGATGTACCAACATTGGTAACATTCGTGGATGTACACTATCTCTAACAGGTTCTTTTGACAAATATTGAATTAATTGTGGGTTAAGCTTAATAACACCAATCCTTTTTCCTCTGTGTTGAATATATGAATGATAGAAAGCTGGTGCTTCCATAGAACTAAATGATTTTAAAAGATAGGTAGATATAAATACATATTATATTATTAACATTATGTTTCATTTATACTCACATTTCCTCGTTTGTTTCGTGATTAATAGTAGTTGTTGGAATATTTGCACACTCCAACAACATAGAAGCTAAGATAGAACCAACCTTTAATAGTTAAAGTTAAATAATAAACATCAGATATAAGATTGCTTGATATGACCATTTAAATACTTAATCGATAATACCTTGGCTCTGACGGTTATTGGCCATTCCGGATTCCATTTCGATTCCATATCTTTTGTCTCAATTTTTGCCGCTTCTCGTCGGATTGCCATATTGAACAGTTTTCCAGATGAAAAAAGTTCATGAACATTTAAGTCTTTTTTGAACTATAGAAAAATATAATTGAACATACAGTAAGAAATTATTAAAATATTCATACTTAAAAAATCTATGAATCACTATAAACTTGCATATTATACCCCGTTATTGCGACTTTGTTTCTTCTTTAATTGCTCTGAATTATACTCATTTTCGACGGCTTTGCCAATCGAAAGCACAGCGCGGGTAGTTTTCATTCCTTCAATAACTCCTCCTACGCCATGTTGACGCAATAATTCCAATATTGTAATAGCCGAAAGTTTTTCGGCATTTAATAATTGCAAAAATGGTCCATAACTGGCGCGTTCCTTATCTTTTTTTTTTATTTTTGTGCATATTAAAATGATTTTCTTTATAGTTCATTTGTAAAAGTTCAAGAAATTGGGAGAAATGTTCAAAAATTACCGGTTAATAATGTTTCTTTGTTTTTACATCTCTCCAATTCCTCTTGAATTAAAGGGGTTAACTTTTCGTGCCAAATCCATATCGATTTTTTCAAAACATTCTTTTGTAAACCAGCCAGTTTATCCTTTCGATTACGCTGTTCGTTTTCATGTTTCCAACGTCCCATAGCAGCTTGTAATGCATTCTCTTCTAATTTTATTTGTCGCTTAACTAGATCTAATTCTCTTTCCTTAATGGCCAGAAGAGCATTTTTCATAATTTTTACCCCAAACGACTAAAGATTTTCATGTTTGATTTTAAATACTATTATATATAATATAAATGAATTGGTTTTAAGTAATGGAATAAATCATACATACCTTCGTAGGAACCGGCTCATCTAAAATTAATTCTTCATTTAAAACAGGATTCTGTTTCTCAATAACATTCTCAATTTTTTTTAAAAGTTCTATTGATGCTGTATTTGATTCTGGATCTGTTCTTAATAACTACAATAAAAATATTTACGAATAAGATTATTATTATTATTATTAATCTTTTGTTTTTGTGAAGACAAAACTTACATGCAATACTTTTTCTGTTTCTTTGTCAGATAATAAATTACTTTCAATTAATTGTTCAAATGAATATCCACATTCCTCAATTTCCTTTACCAAAACATTTAACATCGAATATCCGAGCAAATCTAAGTCCAGTCTAATAATTCATTAAGATACAATAATAAGTTTGAAAGTAATTTAAATTGATCACGATAAATTTATTTATTTCATACCTCAGATAACCCCTTATTAAAATGGAAAAAGTTGCCAAGTCAGGGGTTAGTCTATGATAATTCAACTGATCGAACCACTGTAAAGCTTCATTGACCCTAGGTGGTTTTGCTTCCAAGTAAGCTTCGATAAACTCATTATGCAACTTAATGTCTAGATATTTCTTCGCATCGTCTGTACAATGTTTATTTAAACTGGATAAAATATGCCTGGCACGTTCTATTTCACCTATTTTTAAGCAAGCTCGTAAAACAGCTAGGTGTTCTGAAAAGGCACCGGAATGTATTTTTCCCGCTTCTCTGGGAGTATATCTTGGTTGGGGAAGAATTACTAATTGACTATTTATGTTTAACGGTTCTGGAGAAATATAGTTTATTTTGGAAGAAACTGTAGGCGAATTTGCCGAAACAGAAACGTGTTCTGTCGCTGTAGAATAATTATGACATGCAATAGTCTGAACTGGTGAAAATTCACTAGTTTTGGTAAACTGCACTGTAGTACTGTTTTCCAATCTTTTAGTTTTAAACGTTTTTAACGATATCGAAGAATTTATGTAACGATATTCTCTAAAATTAGAATGTATATTCGATCTCGAAATATGTTTTGACCTAATAAACTTAATCATAATTTATTTTTATTGAAAAAAAAAGGTAAAAATTTTCCACTCCATCTTGATAAAAAAAAAATGTGAAAATCACCGCAGTTCAGGGTTAAATTTAGATTTATCAGAAATTTTGCCGGTGTTTTCAATTTATCGGTTTTTTTGAAAATTTTTCGGTTATTAATTTTTATTAAAAAAAATATGATTTTCAAACATTATTGTTTATATTTATTTGTTTAATTCTTCTTTTACAACTTTGATACCAAATTTGTAATGCGCTACCAAAATTAAAATCTATCAGTCTTAATTAAATTATGTTTAGAAAACCCTCTTTCACAATCTATACTAGAAAATGGTATAGAATAAAATATACTAATCAAAATAAGAATATTAGGAAGGAAATCATCAGTAGAAAGTTTGTCATAATTTGCTAGGACTATAGCTTTAAAATTATTCCATTCATCACGAATAGCATCAGCATCAATAATTGGCATTGGATAATTAGACTCTTTAGCTATTCCATAAATATTAATTAACTTTTCTAATTCTTCCTCGTCATAGCCAATCATTCCATTGGATTCATTATTTTCATGGCAGATAAAATTGATCTATGTGAAAATCTGTCATTCATTTCACAAATTACAGCTGCTGCAAATTCCATAATTTCTAGTAAATTAATTTCATCCTCAGAGTTAAATAAAATATGGTGATCTCCAATAAAAGAATCTTCCGCTGGTGGTACTTTTAATAAAAAATCATTTAGATGTGCACTTAACTTTGGATTTCCATATCTAAATATTCATGTTGTATTTTTTGAATAGTAGAATTAATTATAGGATCGATATCAGAAAACATAATATATCTTCGTTGAAACATCTTATTAAGTTCCATTAAATGGCCTAAAATATCGTATAAAAAGTGTAAAAAAACCAAAACTTTCCAATTACAAATTTTAGAATATAAATCAAATATTGATTGTTGTCTTTGAAAAGAATTTGTTGTTGCTATTTCAAGAAATGTATCCAGTAATGGTTCGATAGATATACATATACTTTTAACTGCTTCATACCAAGATAACCATCTAATCTCAGAGATATTTTTTATCTTTAAAATCGGGTGATCCAATACTGACTGGAATTGCCTTAAAGTATCAACTCTTTTTTCAGAATTACTAAAGAAATTATATGTTTCTTTAATTAAAGTTTCGATATATTTACAAAAAGCTACATGCTTTTGAGCTGAATTGCAAGCCAACGCTAATCTATGTGCAATGCAATGACTTACAAATAAATAAGGATTTTTATTTATAAGTTTTGTTGCCATACCATTATTTTTACAAGCATTACACTAGTTCCATCCGATGAAAAAGACATGATTTTTTTTCTAATCCTAAATTAATAAAGTAATAAATTAAATTAATAAATAAACATTAAAACTTTCATAAATTAACGGTAAATTTTTACCTTTTGATTCAAATAAAGTAAATATAGCTAGAAAAATAGTTTTAGCATCTTTACCATTTAAATGTGATAGTTTTACATACTTGACTTTAGCCTCTTAAACTATATTTAACATAAAGAATTATATGTGATTCTGTATCATAATACCAATGCTTGTAGTTTCATAAAGTTCATTCCACAGTTCTTTTTCAATTGATAAAGATATTGCTGATAATAAATCTTTTGCAGATGTAGGATTTTCGTATGTTATAGAATTTGAGTTAGAAATCAAGTTAGGACTTTCAAGTGCACGTCCAAGTTGTACTAATTGAGAAAATTGATATTGTTTTTCACGAGTTACTGCATTTGAAGTAGCTTTAAGCATTGAAAGTCTAGCCTATTCTTTTTTTAAAGCTTCTTTATGACTGTCACTATTAACATGATCTTGAATTGCCGATTTTTGCTAACATTTTTTGAACTTAATTCAAAATAATCAAATTATAAATTATTAAATTTTTTAAAATCAATAAAAATTAATTTGTTAATAATAAATAAACAACCTTCTTTAGCGAAAGGAACATTAATGCTATGAAATCTACATAATTCACAGTACATTTTTTCTTCATAATTATATTTTAACCATGAAAATTCTTTGAGCCATTTTTTTGGAATCCCTTTTTATTAATTTTTACTTTTTATTATCGGCAAAAAAACTAAATTTTCGGCTACTTTTAAAATTTACCGGTTTTTTCCTGTATTTTTAACCCTGCCGCAGTTGATTACATATTACATTTATATATATATATATATTTTTTTGGGTAAAAAAAAAAAAAAAAAAAAATGGGTCAACACAATAAGAATTCGAATATAAGCAAAACGCGAAAGTTACGTTTGGAAAAAGGTATTTTTTTTTTTTTCCTTCTGTTCCTTAAATTTTTTTAAAATAATAAAATAGTTTTTTATTAATAGCAAAACAAATCAAAAAGAAAATTATCCATAAAGCAAAAATAAAACAAAGTTTTTACAAAACTTTGGAAAAAGAAGGGATTAATTTAGAAACACCCACATTTTATCGCGAAGTATGTAGTTTATTACTTGTTAAATATTTAAATTCCAAAGTAATATAATAATGATTATATGTCCCTATAGATTTTTGAAGGGAATAATAATTCATTTGATCATGATACAAAAATTGGAAAAAATCAAATAGCGAAAGTTAATAATCTTAAAAATAAAAGTGATAAAGAAATATCCTTGGATATTAAAAGAAAAGAAGGAACTGACATGAAGGCAAGTTGTCACATCTTTATTTGTATTGTTTAAAATTTCAAAAGTTCTAACAAAAATTTCATTATATTGCAGAAATCAAAAATCAATAAGTTGATTAAAATGATATTATTATTATTTTTTTTTACTTATAAATTATTTTATCTTACAAGGCTTTTTTTTTGTAAAAAAAAATGATAGCAGAAAATCGGCAAAACCTAATCCATTTCACAAAGTTCTTCAGGAAAGAGAACGAATTCAACGAGAAAAACGTGCCGAAAGAGAGGTAAATTAATTAATTTTTTATGATTTGATAAATATGAAATTATCACAAATCAACGATTTTATCCGATAGGAAATACAACTTGATAGGCAAAAAAGGAAAGCTTATTATGTCGAACGTAATAGAATTAAAAAGAGACTTATGAAATGCAATTCTAAAGGGCAGCCTTATATGAAATCTCGAATTGATCAAATCTTGTCAAAAATCACTAACTAGTTCATTTATTTTATAATTTGATTTATTATTATTGATTTTTTTTTTTATTGAAGCATGATTTATCTGATTAACTCGATTACATAATGAAACGTTGGGCATCAAAATTTTCTTGATTAATGAAATTTACTAATCGTTTAATTAAAGATAAATGTCATGTATTATTACCTCTCATAATTTACGAGTATTTACGCGTCTCTATAATATTTATGAAAATTGTGTTACAAATGATAGCTTCTAGTCAAAATAGTACATCAGTAATGCATATCTTTAAAATAAATCCCAATTCTTGAATAACTTCATATATTGATAGTCGGTATGTGCTCTAGTAAATGAATCATCAGATAATCCAATTTTTGAAAAAGAATCTTCTGCATTGGGTTCCCACTGTTCAATATCAATTTCTGGTGATTTTAACATTTCAATGAATTCTCTTAAAATAGGCGCCGCTGCATAAGGATTAATCGTTGAAATATATTCAACCTTGTAAAGAAATAAAACAAACGCGCTTAATATAAATTTAATGTAAGGGCGAAATGATTAATTATAAACGAATATTATATTGAATCAAACCTCTACGAGCATTCCTTTGTAATTAGCATGTTTGGGAGCCGCAACTCGAACTAAAAAGTCACCGATGATATATGTATTACCCTGATTTAAATTTAACATTCGATTTAAAGATAATTTAAAACGAAACAAGAAAGAAAATTTAAATTTGTCTCACTTCATAGATTGTATGTTGTCTAACTTGCCATAGATTTTTCAATTTTTCGAGAATGCTTTCCATTTCACGTTCAGCCTCAATAATCACATCATCAATCAAACAATAAATCTTATTGGCATTGTTGAATAATGTTGTGTTCATGCGTTTATCAGCTTTTGTATTTATAAATAATTTAACGTGTATACTCCATTTTTCCTTATAACTTCCTAGTAAAGTCGTTGTTATTCGATCATGGAAATTCAATAATCCTTCATGACCTCCTTGATGATTTCCACTATTATCTTTCCATAATAATACACTATATTATTATAATATTCAAAAAAAAAAAAGTTAATCGAGTTCTATAAAGAGAGGGTAATATAGATAGATAGATAGATACCTTGTAACGCCCATGATAATTTTGCTTTGAAGTTTTCGAATGTCTATATTTAATTATGGTCATGCGGAAAAAAATTTTTTTTTTTTTGATTAGATCAAATAGCCAATGATGTTATTGATCATTGATCAACATACTATTTATTAAAAATCAAATTCGATAAAATTAAAATTTCCTCCTCTTTAAGCTCTTCAACATTTTTTAATACTCGTGTAGAGCTTTCAACATGGGTATGTTATGATCTTTTTATAACAAGTTCATTGTTTGATGATAATAGATTAATTGAAATTCCTCATTTATTTTTTTTTAAAAAAAAAAAAAAAAAAAAAAAAAGCCGTTGGCAAGGTATTAATATATATATATATATATCCATCCATCTTCGATTATTATTTGAATTATTATCTAATTAATAAAATTACTTTTTATTTCATATAGAATAAACGACTCAGTAAAGGAAAAAAGGGGTTAAAAAAGAAAATGTAAGTTAATAATAGATTAGGAAATTAATAAATAGCAAAGAATTATTCTTATAAAAACGGTTTATCTCAAAATTTCAAAACTTATTGATTAAATTGTAACATTAAATCATATATATATAAAATAAATCATCATTTATAAAAATCATTAGCGTTGATCCTTTTACTCGAAAGGATTGGTACGATGTAAAAGCTCCTTCAATCTTTGAAGTTCGTAATATTGGTAAGACCCTCGTTAACCGTACGCAAGGTTTGAGTAAGTATCAATCAAAGTATCAATCAATCAAAAAATTCAAGCTATTAGATGTATCACGTGAATACTAAATTAAACTTTCAATTAAAAGAAAATGCCAACGATGCCTTAAAGGGTCGTGTATTCGAAGTTTCTCTTGCTGATTTGAATAAAGATGAAGAACAAGCTTTCCGTAAGATCAAACTCAGAGTTGATGAGGTACAGGGTAAAAACTTGTTAACCAATTTTCATGGCATGGATTTTACCTCTGATAAACTTCGATCTCTGGTCAAGAAGTGGCAGGTGCGATTAATTAAATTTCTTGATAAATTAATTATTATTACCTCATTTTAACATTATTATTGTATTCAATTTATTTATTTTAGTCTCTAATCGAAGCTCACGTTGACGTAAAGACAACGGATGGTTATTTGTTGCGTCTCTTTGCTATTGCCTTTACAAAAAAGCGACCTAATCAAGTTCGAAAAACTACTTATGCTCAATCAGAACAAATTCGTCAAATTCGAAAAAAGATGTTTGATATTATGAACCAGCAAGCCGCTACTTGTGATTTGAAAGAGTTGGTACAAAAATTCGTACCCGAATCAATTGGTCGTGAAATTGAAAAGGCTTGTCAAGGAATTTATCCCCTTCAAAATGTGTGTATAAATAAAATTATTATTATTATTATATTTATATATATATATACTATGCTTAAATTTCTTTTAATTTAGGTATACATCCGTAAAGTTAAGATTATCAAAAGTCCTAAGTTTGATGTACAAAAATTAATGGAATTACATGGAGATAATCTTGATACTGGTTCCAAATTGGGTGGTAGTAAAGATTTTAAAGAGCCTGAAATTCAAGAATCGGTGTAAATAAAATGTTTTCTACTTGAAACATTTATAAATTTATAAAAGAAAAATTCATCATCACAATCTTTCCTTAATTGTAAGCGATTGAAATTAAAAAGATAATTTACTTCAACTTTGAAAAGAGAATTTTTTTTTTTTTTTTTTTTTTTTTTAAAAAAAAAAAATTAAAAAATTAAAAATTTATTATTTGCATTATATAATAAAAAAATTTGTTTATACAAAATTATAATTAATATATATAAGGAATTTACATCATTATGCAATGCAAATTATTTTTGATTTATAAAAAAAACATTATAATATTTCATTAAATATTGTAGTTAGGCCTTTAACTAAAATTATGTATAATTTCATTTAAAATGTCACTTAATAAATTTCTTTCAATATAATAATTCTTTATACAAATCATTAATAATGACAATTTTTTTTAATAATTCTCAATAGAGTAAGCATTGAATTGTTTTTGTGATGAGTAGGATGATATAATAATGTTTTGATATTATGAAGGTAATTTTTTTTTTTAGAAAAAGAAAAACTTTACAAAGAAAAAAAGAGAGATATATATATATATAAAGAAAGCTACTAAATATTAACACAGATAAAGCAATTACCATAAAAAAAAAATCCATAAAACCTCTAAAAAAATAGCAGAGAAATAATTACTATACCCTTCCGTTTATTAAACATACTTTTTTGCATCCCAAATATATTTCCAAAACATCTTAACTTAGCTCTGACTGGTCCAATATTGTTGTTGATTACGATTAGTAGCTTGATGATGTGCCTGATGTTGATAATATTGGTGATGGGTCTGCGGATGTTGATAGTTATTAAACACCTGAGTTTGTTGTCCATAGTAATTTGGATTAGTTGGCGGTTGTTGATGTTGTGTTCCCGACTGTCCAACTCCACCTGTAGGTTGTGCATTAGTTGATGTCTTTTCTTGATACGTCTTATATTGAGTTGGTGGATTTAATTCAGAACTTGCATTATTGCTAGATTTTCCTCCCGTAGCGCTTGAATTTGTGGAACCGGCGGGTTGAGGGTTGTTACCTCCAGCATTACCTAAAAAATTTATAGGCGGCATACTACCGTAAGGTTTTTGATAATCAAGAACACTAGGCACACCCGGGTGATGATGTAACTGCGCACCAGTAACTTCTTCATAACCCGTATTAGAAGTATGAGAATAATGGTGTGGAGTATTGGGTGTTGTGGGCGTAGAAGGATAACCATACGGAGATGTTCCAGAAGCGGATCCAGGCTTGGTAGAATGGGGATGATTATACATAGGGTACATCGATTTATTTACAAATGGTTGACCATAACCTGATTGTTGATAAGCAGCTGAAGGGAACTGGTTTGTCATATAATAATATGGATAATATTGAACTCCAAGAGGATAACCTTGTTGCTGTTGAAGGTTTTGTCCTCCTTGTTGATTTGTTGATTGTTGTGTGCCGGTTGACTGTTGATTGGTGGTTTGGCTATTGGTATTAGTAGCCGTTTCAGAAGAATGTTTATTATCCCGACCTTGATATCCAGTTGATGTTACCGGAGAAGCCTGACCATATGTTGGATCAGCATAATATCCCTATAATTATTAATACAGAAAATAAAAATTATTTTAATAATGATTTAATTATCGATTATTCTTAATTAGTTAACGAATTTCATCCACGTACCATCATACGCTGAGCATCAGGACTATACATTGCATTATATTCTGCTGGCAAAGACTGCATCGGTCCAATACCAAATCCAGATATCTGGTTAGGGGGTTGATGTTGATTTGGAAGATAAGATGTATATGGACCATTAAGAGGATCTGTAGCTAACCCTAAATGATGCTGTTGATTTATATAAGCAGAAGATTGTTCTTGTTGTTTGAAGTAAGATGGGTTGAAATTTTGTGGATTAGTATTTGGGGCGATCGCGGGCGTTCCAGTTGGAGCACTACCAACTGATGATGGTAAAGCCTGAGCAGATGTGGTAGGTAGTCGATTTATAGAATTTGATTGTGAAATAGTTGAAGACTGAGGTTGTGATGATTGTGGTTGTTGCTGAAGTTGTTGTTGTGCAGCTTGTTGTAATTGTTGTTGTGACGATTGTTGTTGAGCTACTTGCTGTTGTGATACTTGCTGTTGCTGAACAGTTTGTTGTTGGACTATTTGCTGTTGCTGCTGAATAGAAGTTTGTGGTTGAGGTGAAGTCTCAACTGATACGGGTTGTCTGTCTTCTGTCTTTTGTACTTGTAATAGAATTTGTGATTCTGTTTCTGAAGATTCTTCCACCGCATTATTCGATATGTTTAAACTACCAAATTGTACTTCAACTCTTTCCAGACCAGCACCTGTATTAGGCATTACCACAGCAGTATCCTGTTTCAATCTACGTGCATTTGTATTTGCTTTAGTTTTGTGAAGACCCGGTGGAGAAACTTCTTTAGCACTTGTTGAAGCATTTACTAAAGTTGCAGTTGATGTACCACTAACACTTAAAACTTCGGGCGAAGTGGCTTCTTTAATGTTTTCCTCAGTCTTTGTTGTTACAATGGTTGTCGTGGTTAATGTTTCTTGTGGAGGAGGGGCAATGACTGATTCAGTAACTTTTGACACAAGAGGAGATTTTACAGGATTTGGAGATATTGGTTTTACTGTTTCGGAACTCTTGTGCACAGGCGCGGATATAGGTTCGGGTTTCGTTTCAGGTTTTGATTCGGGTCTACCAATCGATATAATAAATAGTTACATGAAAAATTAATGATTAAATAACCTTTACGTAATATGATGTAAGCACTCGATGAAGACAGGAAGTCATGATTGAAACACACTTCACAATTTGAGCCCAAGATGTCTTGGACTGAGGAGGAATTGTCCGTAAATTATGTGATACCGGTGACTTTGTAGGGGCAACAGATCTCATTACAGTGTTAGGAGATCTTGAGACATCCTTCAAATTTTTAGCATTTTTAGTTGCATCAGAACCCCAATTATCTTTTAGAGTATCTGCAGCCAAACCATCATTTTCGGCACACCAATTATCTTTAGAGTGATCAATGTCCCAGTTATCCTTTGTAATGTTGGAATCTCGATTGTGTTTTAAATTATCAGTGGCTTTGTCAATATCTCGACTTGCCGTAATATTATCTGTAGAAATATCGGCTATCCGACTGTCTTTAATATTTTCCGTCAAATTATCGGTCGTCCAACTTCCTTTTACGCTCTGTTGGGTATTTTCAACATTCCGTCCAGTTTGGGAACTGTCCGTTGCGTTTTCTTTGTTCCAAATCTGAGCTTTATCAGTATTGTTAGCATTTTCTGCCGGATTTTCGGCAGACCATGAACCACCTTGAGCTGTAATATCGGTAGACCAGTCTCCAGTAACAATGTCAGCCGGCCAAGTGCTAGTACCTTCATTGGGCCAATTTCCTCCGATACTATCATTATTGTTGTTCTTAGAGTTACTGGTATTCTCAGTACCCCGTGCCTTACCGTGCATAACATTGTTTGTATCATCGTAATTGGAAGCGTTAGTTCCATTTTGTTGACGCGGAGGCTTCATATAGCCTATTTCAATAAAGTTAAAAGGTTTAAAAATTAATCTTTTCAAATATTATTAGTTCTAATTTTAAATTATAACACATGCCTGAACCGTTTTCCCTTCTTGACCCTCGAGTACGATCATTACTTCTTCCACCCCGTCCACCCTCTGAAACAAAAAAAAAGAAAAAAAAAATTTAGGTAAATAATAAATACTTATGGTTTCAATAATACAAATTTAAATTACTCACCACCGCGGGCCCGACCACGTTCACTATAACCACCTCTAAAATGTCCACGTTGAGCTTGAACGTTACTAAATTGTTGCCCACCTTGCTTATTTTTACCACTATGTTCTTTTTTAGACTTGCGAGATTTAACCTCACCCCATTGAGCAGCGTGACCTATTCAAACAAAAAGCAACAGATTCATGTTAATTGTTGATAAATAATCAGTTTATTTTTTTTTTTTTTTGACCAAATAGAGATCATACAATATAAAAAAATTCATTAAAATTTAAAAATCTAAACGTAAAAAAAAGTGTTTACAATTAAATATCCAATAAAGATTAAATAATTCCTTATCATTTAAATAAAGAAAAAACTTCACTAACAAAGAATTAATATTATTATGTAGTCTCACGTAATAACGTGTATTCTCATTTAATTAAGCAAAGTTAATGTTCAATATTCAAAGTTATAACTATTTGCATAAAAAAATCTATTTTGTAACTATATATAATAAAACTATCTTTTTGAGAAAAAAAGTGACATGAAAACAAACCTTCAGTGATTCGAGTAATTGTAGCTTCGAGTTCCCCTTTAACTTCTTGCAAGGCAAAAAGCAAATCTGCCTCTGTCCAATTAGGAAATAATTCTTGCAGTGTTGATAATTCTTTTTTATACAGAGATTTCAGATGCTTTACTTCTTCTGTCTCTGCTACTTCTGTGGCAGCGTGATTACTCTTATGCCCTACTCCTGCCAGATTTGTTCGCTGTGTGTCATAGTCGTGTGAACCCATTTTTATGTATGATGTGAAATAAGACGGTGAGGGATCTGATGAGGTTTCTTTTCTTTTTTCCTGTTCAGGTTGGATATATTTATTTTATACCAAAATTTTTTTTGGTCACGTATTTAAAAGGGGTCGTGAATTGTCTCATCTGATCATTTAACTTCCCTCATTCTGATTTGTCGACCAAATATATGATTTTATTTAAATAAACTTTTTGTTAATAATTATTAATATGTTTAATTAATATCAAAAATACTAATATTCTTCTTTCTAATTAATATAAATAGTCTTGTATTAAATAATGAATAATATTTAATAATATTTTCTAATATAATTTTTATAATATAATATATATTAAAATTCCTATTTATATATATTAAAATAGTATATGGAATAAAGATGGGAACTGTAATTAATATGTTGCAACTTTTAATGTTGCAACTTACGTTGCAATTAGTTTTAACCTATATATGTTGCAACTTATAATGTTGCAACATATGTTGCAACTAATTTTAGCTTATATTGCAACATTTTGTAAATTTGAAATCAATTGCTGTACCATCTTTAATATGGAAGATTTACTAGGAAAATAGGGATTTTGATATTAAAGAAAATTAAATAATTTTAAATTAGATGATTAATAATATATAAATAATTAGCTGAGAAATTTTATAAAATTTCTTAAATAGTTTATTAAACATAATTATTATTTTCAAAACCTATTTTTAGATTAAATAAAAATTTTAATCTTTAATTATTCATTTCAAATATATTTTAAGAATGTAATAATCCTATCCTAGCTGTGAATCTCCAATATGCTAAAGTTTTATTACTCAGTAATAGGCCATAATTCAGGTCTTAATCAAGATATAATACTATATGATTTTTATATAAATTTCATTGTGACTAAACTGATAGACGTATTTACTGATATGTATACAAATCTGATTGATTGATCTTTTGATCAACATTAATCATGCTTAAATACTATATGAAGACCTCTCTAAATCAGTGTATAAAATCTAAGTTAAAATTTATATGCACAAATTGATTAATTATTACTAAAATAAGAAAATTATAACATTTCTTATGTAAAATTACCTTTTTTATACATAATTTATCTATTTTTAGTAATAATTTGTGCACATTTTATGTTGTGTAATATGTGCACACAAAAAATTAATGTGCATATGTGCATATTGTACACATAGATTTTACACACTGCTCTAACTAAATGCATTCTTCCTAAAAGTACGCATATATATTTTTTTATAAATGCATATTCTACACAACCCCAAATATATAAAGATCATACAAAATTTCTCTCTTTAAATACACATTCTTCTTAAATACACATTTTTTTCAAATTTTTACTATGGTCCCAAGGGGGTGTATTTAGAGAGGTCTCACTGTATGTAGATGCAAATGAAGCCTAAGATTAACAGAAACTTGGTCTTCACTAATTGGTCTGTAATAGACATAATCTTACGTCTTATCCTGCAGGGGTCCTTAATAAAGTTTAAGAAAGTGATTGACCAAAATTTAATAAATTAAGTTACAATAATAATTAGACTACATTGCATACTGCAGTACTAGCCAATCAAACAGTTATTAAGGGTAGAAATCATATTCAATTCCTAAGTTATTTGATGGTATAGGTATCAAAATCATCTAGTTTGAATAATTTATATGTATAACTAATGATCTCTATTTAAGTTAATCTTGTAATACTATTTTATGAATCTTATGGCTTATTGTATACTTATAATAAAACCAAACTGAATAATCAGATCTTTGTTATAGTTCATAATGATCATTGGTAAAAATAATGATAATGCTGACTATAATGAAGATGATCCTTCTATCCAAATTTAATAATATCTGTTATATTAGATATCTTTTTTGGGTTTTACAAATAATTTAAATGATCTGGATTAGGATGTTATACCTAAATGGTAACGTAATAGAAGATAAGGTTCTTCAAAATCAAATCAAATCAAATATTTAAGCAATTGGAATTTGATTTGATTTTTTCAAATCAAATTGAATTAAATCGAATTGAACTCAAATATTTGATCAAATCAAATTAATTGATTTGAATTTGATTGAATCAAATCAATTGAATCAAATATTTGTTAAATCAAATTAAATTAAATTGAATTGAATTGAATCAAATTAAATATAAATTTTTTTTAATTTTTACAATGATATATTAAAATAAAATTATTCTAAAGTTTTAATTAAGAAAATTATTAATAATTGCACTAAAAAATTTCAAAGATAGCTTTTACAAAGTAAGTTTAGTAACAGGTGAATTTTTATTATTAAACTTAGTAAAATAACTCTGCGTTCTCAGTTTTACTAAGAAAACTTAGTAACGACCACCTTGCAGCTTCAAGAAATCTTAGTAATAATTGCTATCGTGGTTTTAGTTTTACTAAAAAACCGCTATCTCAACTTTGTAAATATTTTATTAGTAAAAAAACATTTTTGAAGCTGCAGAAACAATTTTTACTATATTTTCTTAGTAAAAAAGCATTTCTGAAGTTGTAAAGACGCTTTTTGCTATGGTTTTTTTTAGTAAAAAAGTTATTTTTGAAGCTGCAGAAGTGCTTTTTACTATAGTTTTCTTAATAAAAGCTACATCTGAAGCTTTGGAGATAGTTTTACTATTGATTTGAATCAAATCAAATATTTGAATACTTGATTTGAATTTAATCGAATTGAATCAAATATTAATTTGGATTTGATCAAATAAATCATTCTTTGATTTGAATTTGATCAAATTAAATATTCAAATATCAAATTGAATTGCAAAACCCTACGCATTATCATGAATTTTTATGTGATTTCTTAAAGAAAAATGATGAGAGAAAGTCTTTTCGCATTGTGGACATGCATGTTGCATTTTTTGTTAAGAATGAACAAAATTTTAAAATTTTTTAATTCAATTAGATGCATCAAGTAATAATAATGAAAGTAACGTCAAATAAATGATGATCATTGTTAAGCCATTAACAATTATTATAAAAATGATAATAGAAAATCATATTAGTATTCTGTAGTATAACATGAAGATTATTATGGTAGTAAGATAAATAAATTAATACGTTTATTAATACAATTTTTACTTTCGCATAATTTTTAATTTCGCATTTATTAATGTAGTTTCTGACTTCTATGGCAGTATGATATGAACTAAATTCAGGATTAAATTCAAGCGTTTATCAACGATGATATAAGTTATATGTTTATCAATGCAATTTCTATAAAGGTATAATAATGTATTTACCAATACTTTATGTGATGTATTACATTTTTAAAATTAATAAAAGAAAATGAAAATAATAATGAATAGCTTATTCTACATATCATCCTTTACTAGAAAAATACAAATTTTAACTTTTAAGTAATAATCCAAAAATGAATGTCAATCAAGATAGATTTAATATTAACGCATCTTCTTTAAAATGACCACAAATTAGAAGATCAAAACATTTGAATGAAGATGTAATTATATTCGTTATTTATTTTATATACGTTTATTTAAATTTACTTATATCTATATATATTATAATTTTCTAGATATCAAGAAATAGTATAAAATAATTTTACTTATTTTATTAAATCTTAACAAACACACTAATCCATAGTTATAATAATAATAAAGCATCAGAAGATAATACAGGAGTAGTTCTACCAAAAAAGTCCTGTATCAAAATTATCAATTTGTTTTCAAATAATAAATTGATGCCTGTTGCTATCGATGATACTACCATCATCTTCACACCCATCAAACCTACTACCATCTCCATCATCATTACCAAGAAACCTAATACCAAGCTCAATACTAAGTCCAACATCACTACCTCCCCTAAAAAAAATTACCAAGTCCAACACCACTACTTCCATTCCTAAAAAAATCACGTCTTCTCAATTAATGGTGAGATTTTATTATTTTATTTGATACCTTTATATTATATTGAATTTTTAATATATTTATCATATTTTATATTAGCCAACAAAAACACCATTGGATAATATCTCGTTATCTTTATCAAGAATGAAAATACAATCAACTGGTATTTTATTGTCATTATCGTCGCATTCACCCACGCAAAGCAAAAAAAACTACTGAAAGTTCGAGTTTATAATATACGTTATAAACATATTTATTGCATAATATTATTAATATGTATATATTATCATAATTAATTACTGTTGATTCACGCGTTTTGGATAAGGTGTTTTTGCTCTACCAAAAGAATAACACTAAACTCAATCAAATTTTAAAAAGGCAAGACGAGTTTGAGATGATTATTATTGAGCAAAAAGATAAAATTAATGAAATTTTATCAAAATTCGAGGAGCAGAAATTCAATACAAAGATCAGAATTGGCAAAAAGAAGGGTAAAGATAAAGGAAAGAAAAATGGAATCAAATTTTATCATTTAAACATATGTGTATTTTATTATTATTTATTTGTTTACTTTATCTTGATTTTAATTATTAACTTAATTTATATTACAGGAAGTGATTCGAAAATTATCCTACGAGTTGTTTCACAAACATAAGTAACTAATAAATAATGAACTTAAAGCATGCCTAAAGGTAAAATTAGACAGCGATGAATATTGTACAAATCAGCTTTGAAAGCTGAAAGATAACAACATTAGTTACAACAATCTATGGGATGAAAAGCTATATTCAGCCATTAATATTTTATTTATATTTTTAGTTGTCATATTCTATGCTATTTATTAACTAATAATTTATTTGAATGAACTAAACTAGTTGCTTAAGACGAATCGTATCAAAAAGGATACTATATTCGTTGTATAAAAGAAAGCCTATGGTCTATCTTCGGGTTTAACAGAATTAAGCCTATAAAGACAATTGGTCCAAGGAGCAAATAAAAGATTAGAAGACAAGCAAAGAAATAAAAGCAGTATATGATGATCTATATTGCCCAAATGATCTAAATGGCTCATCATCAGACACATATATCTAAGGTTAGTAAAAGTCCTAATAAGTCCTAATTAGTCTTAAAGAATTTAAAGATAATTTTTAATTTATATACTATTAATTAAATTTTTTGATAATAAATTAAATTTTTTAATAATTATTATATATCAATTATTTTATTAATTTAAAATAAAAAAATTATTTAAAAATAATAAATATACTTAATTTAGGACCTGGTCCTAGGATCTAGGTCCTAGGTATAAAATTTTAAAGATATTTTAAATTTTAAAAAGAAATTTAAACTTATTTTAATAAGTAACCTTAATTAAAAAATTGAATATAATGAAAATATTTAAAAAAATTTAATCTTTATAACTAATGATTTTTTTAAAATTAATCAAAACCAATTAGGACCAATTAGGACTTTTACCAACCCTACATATATTACATTGATCATCAAGTCTGTTTTTGCATCTGATAAGAAATTAACACGAGAAAATGCTGTTTGGACTCAATCAGTACTTGAAATAATTTTCGATGTTGACTATCTCTTAATAAAAATTGATACTAATGTGATTGAGTTGTGAAAGAATGTTATTGAATGTAATGAACAGGTATATCATAAACGTTATTGCTTTATAAACTTTATTTCTTTATAATATTATTAAATACTTTCTTTACCTTTAATTAGGATGATGAATATGAGCAGTACAAGAAGGAAAAAAACGTGCAGTACAGCCCACAATACAGTAAACATGCTTTCACTAATAAAGAGTTGTATGATTTTTATCAAAACCTAGACAATGATGCAAATTTTATGAAAGATTAAATGTGTTTAACACCTTTAATTATAAATTAACCAATTAACTTTATTTTATGATGTATTAGATATATATGCATTTTTGTATAGAAATTTATAATAAAATTACCATAATTTACAGTGATTGCTATTGTATTTTCACGTTAAACATTATATTAATTAACACTATTATACTCATTTTTCAACACTGTGATGTGATACCGTTATTTTACTATATGTTGTTTTACATCTAAAATGTATTGATCAATGTCCTTTTAACCGGCGTTGATTGATATAAGGTTTGTATATCAATACTTTTTGATGTTGATCGATACATAATGTATATTGATACGTTATATGCCTGTTTAAAACTTCCTGATGTCAGCACCCAAGCTAGCATAAAACTGATTCAGAATTGGTGAACTAATAGAAGTAACTAGCTTCTTGCCAATTCCTCACCAGTTCCAAGACACTATCAGGTCACTGTCATGATGCCATGCTGGATTTTCAAATCACATGCTTTAAAGATTAGCCAGAATTAAGACATACTGTAGTATTGTCTGAAATTAATTGCAAATATACCATTAGGGTTCCTTAAAATCAAATCAAATCAAAATATAAATTTTTTTTTTAATTATTATAATGATATATTGAATTAAAGTTTTAATTAAAAAAATCATTAGTAATTGCACTAAAAAATTTCAAAGATAGCTTTTATAAAGTAAGTTAGTAACAGGTATATTTATATTAAGAAAAAATAGTAAAAAACGCCTTCACGATTTTGGAAATGCTTTTTTTACTATGTTTTCTTAGTAAAAAAACATCTCCGAAGCCGTGGAGGCGTTTTCTACTATATTTTACTTAGTAAAAAAAGCATTTTCAAAGCCGCAAAGGTGTTTTCTACTATGATTTACTTAATAAAAAAAGCATTTTCAAAGCTGCGAAGGCGTTTTTACTATGTTTTACTTAATAAAAAAAGCATTTCTAAAGCCGTAGAGGCGTTTTTTACTATGTTTTTCTTAGTTAATACCATTTCTAAAGCTTTGAAAATAGTTTTACGATTAATTCAAATCAAATCAAATATTTGAATAGTTGATTTGAATTTGATCGAATCGAATCAAAGATTAATTTGGATTTGATCAAATAAATGATTCTTTGATTTGAATTTGATCAAATCGAATCAAATATAAATTTGTATTTGTATTTGAATTTGATCAAATCGAATCAAATATAAATTTGTATTTGTATTTGATTTGATTTTCAAATCAAATATTTGAATATCAAATCGAATTGCGAAACCCTACTATTTGTTGTTGGATGCCAAAACCTACATTGAAATATATTTAGATTCAACAATAGTCAAAACCTAGTTTTAGAATTATCATCTATATGCTGAAACTCAAATCTGAAACTGATACTGAAACCCAAAACTAATGTCGAAAACTCAAAACTAATGCTAAAACTTGAAACTGGTATCAAAACCCGAAACTAATACTGAAACCTGAAATACTAAAACTGATGTTTAAAAAATTAGTACTGAATTCAAAAGTCAAAACTCTAAAACTAAAATAAAACATAAAAATAAAATGTACTTTGCATTTATTTTATTTAATTCTTAATAAACTTTACATTAAATGGTTTTAATTAGTAATTACTTTATTTTATTTATATTTTATTTTCCAAATTTCTGATTACAAACAAAAAAAAAACTATAAAATGAAAATGTTTTATTTCAAAAACATTACTGCTAGTTCTACTGGATTATAATCCTCCTCTTTATTAAAAGCTTCCAAATCAATTTGTTCATTCATTTCACTTTCGAATTTCTAATTATTATCGCATTTTGCAAAAATCTCGATAAATCCAAAGTTTTTTCAATTTTCAAAGATTCTTTAGCAATAACTTCTAAATCATCATCAATATTAGGTCGGTCATTAAATATAATTTTATTTAAGTTTATTTCATCTTCATCTTCATATAACTTCACATCTTTCAAAACTTGTCAAATTTTTTCTTCAGATTTTCTTATTCCGTGATATGTTAATTCAGATTTATTGTTAGCAATATAATAGGAATAAATCTGCATCATTGCATCAAGATTTTTCACTAATAGCCTTGTATGACGTATTTTATGAATCCAATCACAAATTGACCAAACACGTTCACAACTTGCAGCATGTGGTGAAATTGAAAACAATTTGATTGCAAGGATTTGAAGATATGGTGGATCCACATGACAAGTTTTCCACCACTTCAGATACGCATCAAAATTATAGATATAGGATATATTATAAAGAGGTTGATGTAATTAATAATCACATAATTGTGATATAAGTATCTTACCAGCTTTTTGTTTACTATAATTATTTTTTTTTAGCATAATTAAAATTTCAGGTATATTCATTATTTGTTGCCAAATTATTGCTCCTATAATACATATCTGAATAAATTGAGTTTCAATAATTCAGCTTCTATAGTAATTTTGGATGTATTTAAAAATATTTATATTATTACTTTTTATTGTTATAAATAAATAATTCATTTGAAGACAATATATTAATAAAATAAATTCGCTTACCTTGATATTCAGGATGCAAATAATATGCAAGCAAATGTTCATCAAAATCAAATTCATTAAAATGAGTATTAAAATATTTAATGTAATGCTGGTAAAATATTTTATAATCTGATTCTGATATATTATTTATAGTGGCTCCTAGTTGTGCAAGTGAAAAAAAAACAATTAGCAAGGTTGGCTTTCTACCTTTCTAACTGAATAATTGAATCTTTTATTAGCTTAATAATAGTTGCTAAATCTTGAACATCTTGAAAAAATCCTCTTTTACACATTATAATATTTTTTACACTTTCATTGGTAATTACATTTGGATTTTCATTTATTACTTCTTTTAAACATGTTTCTAGCTGACAGATTGATTGAAGCATTTCATATGCTGTAGTCTATCTTGTATGAATATATGAGGCGTAAACTAGGAAAATGACCTTCTGAGATTAATTTACCTTTTTTTTTTTTTATTATTAAGTGCGGTAGCTTCACATGATCTTTATTTAAAGCAAGTAAAATATAAATAAAATACAAGACAAGAAAAGAAAATACAAAAACTTCTAAGTATCCTAAACTAGTTAA